ACTTTGTCTAGTAGAATTAGGAAGTAACAACTAGTTTTTTTATACTTCTCATTCTGACAAAATTGTAGAGAAGTTGACAATATACAATTGACCAGAGCCTTGTTTTTCACAAATATTTAATCTATTAGTGATGATATTTTGTGTATTTCTATTGCCACCCCTCATCATGGATTACCAGTGTCCTCTTCTGTACTGAAGGCAGTGACATCAGCACCTTTAAGATTTTCCAAACTTGAGAACCAAGTTAGAAAACTCACCCTTACAATTTTGTTTCTTTATAACCACTCTCACAACCAAATGTCTCAGGTTGGGTTCTCTAGAGATACAAAATCGGTGATGTGTATATATATTTATCTCAAGGAAATGGCTCATGGCAAGTTCAAAATCTGTGGTTTTGGTATCAGGCTGGAGGCTTCTCCTGACTCACATGGTTGCAGAGGCTGATGAATCCTGAATCGGCAAATCAGATGGCGTGCTGCTGGCCTGTGGAGCTGTGGAAGCTGCTGAAAATCAATCAATCAGAGATATTTGGATTTATTTCTAGATTTTCAATTCTATTCCATTGGTCTATATGTCTATTATTAAACCAGCACTGTTTTGGTTACTGTAATCACTTCTTCTCTTTTCTTCCTCTGTACTTGCCTTCCTTCTCAAGCTTCCTCCTTCTTTGGGTTCAGCAGCTGATTGTAGTGTTGGGTACATGGTCAGCTTGTATGGAAGTGGCTGTACTGAGGAAAGCCTAGAGAGGACTCAAAGCAATCACAGGGATCCACTCAAAGGGTGGTCAGGGTATTAAAAGGAAGAGAAACAAAACCCAAGCAAGCACAGAAAAGTGTACTTTTGAATTAACTGGCTGAAATCTGAGGGTATCTAGAACTGGTATAAACCACTTGAATTTATAGCATTTGTCTACTCTGCCAAGGTGGATCCATAAACACAAACCCCACTGGAAGCAGCAGCCCAAGGCCTTTTTATGTTTATTGTGATTTGGGTGAAAATTTATAGAGCATACAGCAGTTCACATACACTTTGTCTCATGACATTGACAAGTCACCATAATGCAATAGCTTCCCTCCCACTTACTCCCAACAGGCACCTCTTCTCTATGTCCATCCCTCCAAGGCACCCCTGCCCCCTGAGCTGTCTCCCTGTTCATAAACACCCCTTCTTTCTCCCATGATTATTCTCTCCAAGAAGTGTATTTACCTCAGATAAATGTTCAACTCCTATGCCTGTCTTTTGTTTGGCTGGAAGCCACAGGTGTGGGTTCAATTCCAGACCTGAAGAGCAGCTAGGGGCCATAGTCTCAGTGGTTCCACCAGG